AAAATATTATACGCTGATAATTATGCGGTTCAGCGTAAAAAAAAAACAAAAAAAAAAAAAGCCGAAAAAGAAAAAAAGGTAAAAATCCGATAAGAGGTACATCATACGAAAACAAAAAAGAAAAAAAAGAAAATAATAGAACATAAAAAAATTAAAGATAATAAGAATAAATATAAAAAAAAAATAATAAAAAAAATAAAAAAAATAAGAACAGCGAAAGAGGCATAATAATTCGCATAAAACGTCACTCTGGTAAATGAAATAAATATTGCCACTAAAGGGGATGCGTTGATCACTCCGTGCCAAACGAAATGAATGCATACACAAATAAAAATAACTTGATTAAACCGTTTAGCAAAAATGATGAGCAATGATAAGTGGCAAGACCGGACCACCTTGGAAAGGCCGGAGTGCAGATCCATAAGTAAATGTGGTTTACAGCGAAGATAAAAGGAGTTCATAGGCAAGAGAAAATGAAAACCACTTACCTCGAAATCAATGGAATGAAGGGATCCGAAGAGATAAAACTTGCGAGCTTGGGCGATTCCTTATGTTTAATGGGATAAGCTTAATGGGAGCCATAGGATTAATCTGAGACCGTTGAGGTGAATTTAAAGAATAAAGACGGAAAGGAAGGATAGAGGATAAGAGGTGGAAAAAGGGTAATGCCAGATAATAATAATAATAAAATAATAATGAATGGGAATAATAATAAAACTAAAATAATATAATTAAAATAAAATAATAATAATTAATAATAATATAAAATAACAATTTAATAATAATTAATAATGATAATTGAAATGAAATAATTAATTAATAATAATATTTAATAATAATGGAAATGGATAATCGATAATGGATTTAATGATAATAATATAATAAAACATATAATATCATGATGATTAAACATTGTAACTTGGGTAAACACATTATAATGATAACAATTGATTCCTTAATGATAATGATAAAATGATAATGTTGTCGATGACCGATCCGATAAGACACACCCATTAAACAATGATAGACGACCGATGATATTAAGAAATAGACACAGTAATAAAGTAAAAAAGAAGATCAATTACATGGTGTATACAATTGAAGTTGTTCTATTGTCGAACATTGTTACTGACTGGTCTTTTGTAGCAAAAAGAGAAGGAGCCAAAAGAACGGAGGTAATTAAAACTTATAAGACGAGAAAGCAGAGAGGACGAACATATAATGTTAGTTTGCAACTGATGAGGAAGGCTAGTAAGGCGTGCAGTGAGGGAATGATTGGAAGAGGTTGGCTTTGTGGGGGTAACAGGGAAAGAACTGAGGGAGGGAGAAAGAGGCAGGGCTAAAGAGGATTGAAGGGGAGAGGTAAAGAAAGGAAGGATTAATGAGAAAGTGAGAAGAGCAGGGTGAGAGATTCATGGAAGAGGATAGGCAGAGTAAACTTGTATGGAGAGGAAGGAGTGGAGAGAGTGAGAAGAGAGAGAGAGAAGAGGGAGGAGAGAGAGGGAGAGGGAGAAGGGATTAGAGGGAGAGAGAGAGATGCGAAGATGGTCGAGGGAAAAGAGGGAGAGGGGAGAAGGGACGGTAGGGAGAGAGGGAGAGAGAGGTGAGAGGGGAGTGGAATGGAGAGAAGGGAGGGAGAAGGGAGGAAGGAGAGGGAAGTAGAGGGAGTGGAGGAGGATAGAGAAGATAGATATGTGAGTAGGGAAAGGAAGGAGACGAGAGTGGAGTGGAGGAGCATTGAGAGAGGTGCGCGGGAGGGATGAGAGAGTAGAAAAGTAAGGCGAGAGAGGGAGAGGGAGGAGGAGAAGAGGGAGAGAGAATAGAGAGGAAGAGAGGAGGGAGAGAAGAGGAGAAGAAGAGGAAAAAAGTATAAGGATATAGAGAGAAAGGTGAAGAGAAGGGAGAGGGAAGAGGGAGAGGGACGGAGGTGAGAGGAGTGAGAGGAGAATGAGAGAGGAGAGTCAGAGAGAGGGATGGAGGAGAGAATGGAGGGAGAGGGCGTGAGAGTTAGGGGAGACGAGGGAAAGGGAGGGAGTGGTAATAAGGGTAGGAGGAGAAAGAAAGGTATGGTGGGAGAGGAAAGCGGGAGGGAAAGAGGAGCGGAGAGGAGGGGGTTGAACTGAGGGAGTGAAGGAGGAGGGAGAGAGGGAGAGGAGGAGGGGAGGAGGGGTGCAGAGAGTGAAGGAGGAGAGGTAGAGAGGAGGAAGTGAAGTGGGACAAGAGGAGAGGAGAGGAAAGAGAGAGATGGAGAGAGGAGGATGAGAGACGAGGAGAGAGTGAGAGAGGGAGCAGGGAGAGAGAGGAGAGAGGGAGAGGTGAGAGGGATAGGCTGAGAGAAGAGCGCGGGAGAGGCCGAGAAGGAGGAGAGTGAGAGGGAAGGAGGTAACTGGGTGGAGGAGAGCGAGAGAGGAGAGGGGTGGAGAGGAGGGGAAGAGGAGGAGGGTGAATAAACCGGTGGAGGGAGGAGGGAAGGAGGAGAGAAGAGGAGGGGGGGATAAACTGGAGACGACGAGGAGAAGAGAGAGGAGGGGAAGGAGGAAGGGAAGGAGGTAACAGTAGAGGGGAGATAGGAGGAAGAGGGGAGTAGGGAGTGAGGAGGAGAGGGGAAGAGGGGGAATTGAAGGAAAGTGGAGGAGGGAAGAGAGGAGAGAGGAAGAGGGAAGGCAGGGACAAAGCAATTAGCGAGGAGGAGAGGGGAAAGATTTCAGAGAAGGGATGATGGAGAATGAGAATTGATGAATGGCAGGAGAAAGGGAGGCGGTGGGGATAAAGGGACCGAAGGATGTGATATGAAGAGTGAGGAGAAGAGAGGAGAGGGAAGAAGGGAGGGAGACGCGGACGAGGGAGAGGAGAGCAGGAAGAGGAATGATGATGAGGATTTGAGCATTCTGTTGATAATGATTATAATGAAGAAAAGAAATAAAATGTGGATAATGGGATGATAACGGGCAAAGAACCAAATCAGAAGCTAATAGGGTGACACCGATTAAAGAGGGCGCCTTTTAAGAAAGAATGTAAGGGGAGAGCGGAAGAAGGGAGAGGATGAACAAGAGAAGACGCCAGGAAATAAATAAGCACCATAATCAAAAAACTAAACGCATTAGAACTTTTCTACGCTTACACAACCGACAAACCGCACAGAAGCACGCAGAGATGACACGAGAGAGAAGTGAACGACCACCCGGACAAATGCCGAGAGAAAAATCCAGCATGGACCCAAATGACCCAGAAACTGCAGGGAGCAGGGCAGACCGAAGCACCAAACAGACCGAACCCCACCCCGCAACCTGTATTTGTAAAGGTGACCCACCAACCCCGACGCGCCGATGAGCAGGAAACGAGGGAGAGGCTCATCCCGTAGAGAAAAAAGGGAGAACGGAAGGGCAAGGGAGAGGAGATTACCGAGAGGCCCAAGGAGGGAGGGGACGCACGGGAGAAGTTGATAAGGGAGGGAGACGGGGAACACGACTAAGAAGAATATCGCCAGAATAAAACAGGGAGACTGAGAGAGAGAGAGGAGCGAGACGAAAAGAAAGGGAGAGAGACCCGAGAGAATCAAAAGCGACAACAAGAGGAGGAGAAAAGCACGAGAGAACGGATTCATCAGCCTTGAGGAGGCCGTATTGATTTTGAAATGTTTACGACCCCGAATTCCGTTGATTTGAAACCCGAAAATATAGAGAAGAGACCGAGATGGTTTATGAGAGTACCGAGCTGAGAAGGAGCCGACGCTTGTTATTGATGAAGACGATCGGGGAGAAGAGAGATGGAGAGAACAGAGGAGAGAGATGGAGAGAGAATGACAGCGTTAGGGAGAGAGAGAGAGAGATTAATGGCCAAAAGCCGTTGTTATTCAAATTACAAACTTATGATAATGATTATATGTTAGGATAAATGAAAAGGTTAGTCGATGGATTATGGCCGCAGATAGGAAATTGCAATGGGTTGAGGAGGAGAGAGAGTGAGAAAGAGAGGTAATTATTGATTGTGGTAATAATAATTAGTAACAGTAATTTAGAAAAAAACCGCATAACAATAATAAATGACAATAATAATAATGGTAATAACGGGCGAAATAAGAATAATAATAATAATGATAATGTTTAAATGATAATAAAGTTGAATAAATTAAGGTAATAATAATAAAATTAATAATAGGGATAATAATGATAACAAATATGATTAATGATGAGTAAAAAATTCGATGAATATCCAATGCTAATAATGAGATGAGGTGGATGGACGGATTGATAACAACAAAAATGATAATGATAACGACAATGAAAAAAGAAGGAAGAGACAATGATGGGATACAGAGCAATGCCGAGAAAGCGCATCTTTCCTGAATCTTGTAGAAGAGGAGGGTTCTCTGTTATGCGACACTAGTACTTTGGTGTTTTTTGTCAAATGTGTTTTTTTTGGTACAATTTTATTGACATTTGTTAGGTAAAAATTTTGTCCGATTTTTGAAGCGAAATGGATTGTCGATCTTTTGTCAGTCAGACGGGATAAGTGGGGAATGATTTTTCCAAGTGCGGGCTGAAAAACCTGTTCCGTCAACAAAATTCTTTTCGGCGCGCAAAGTATTAAAGTCAAATCAAAGAGCTATATTCGGAGAATGTTTGTATGTTTTTTTTGTAAAATAAGAATGTTAAAAAATTGACGGAAAAAGTACTAGTGTGACAGCACCTTAAGTCAAAATTAATACCAATACAAACCATTTTCTCCTCAAACGCAAAAAACCACCTTCGCCAATCTCAAATAAAATCTATCTATATATCAGCCTTTTCCTTCGTTTCGGTTTCGCTAAGCAGAAGCCAAAAGAAATCTTGAAGACAGGCTTAAGATCCCCGGCCTTTCTTAAACAAGAAAAAGAAAGAAAGAAAGAAAGAAAGAAAGAAAGATTTCTTGGTTATCAAAGAACATCAATGGTATCTTTATTTCACAATATTTATCCTCTTAATTGTTATTTTGTCTTACTTTTTTTTTTTTTTTTTTTTATTCTTGGTTTCATCAACATCATCATTTTGTTTTCTTTGCTTTAAAAGAATTCAAAACTCATCATTGCCTTCACTTCATCTCGAAACGATTTCACTTCATCTCAATACGACTTCACTTCTTTACACTTCATCTCAAAAACAATTTATTTCATCTCAGAACGACTTCACTTCCTCATTTCATCTCAAAAACAATTTCATCTCAGAGCGACTTCACTTCTTCACTTCATCTCAAAAACAATTTCATTTCATCTCAGAACGACTTCACTTCCTCACTTCATCTCAAAAACAATTTCAATTCATTTCAGAACGACTTCACTTCATCTCAAAAACGATTTCACTTCCTCTGCTGTCACTTCACCATCACTTCATCATCACCATCACTTCAAAGCCACAATCATGTCATCACCATAAGCAAAATCATTAACAATACCACCCGTAGTGCTAAAAAACTTATGCCCAACTCCTGATCACTCACAAACTATATACATTGTTATAGGGAATATAACCTCTCATTTTAATATATGTTTAGGAAGGGGATCTATGTCTCTTTATTATGATTCTTTTTTTATTTTAATTTACAATTTGAAAAGGGGTTGTTATTATCGTTATTATCATATAACACGGATTTCTTAATTCTTTTTGCTTCTCTCAGCTAGATACGTGACATGCTGGACTTGGAAATATTATACTGTAGGGTCTGTTGTTAGTGGTATATTTAGCAGTGGTTCACTATACAGGGTAGGTACATTAGAGGGACTTACATACCCTAGGATAACACTGTATTATTGTAGTTACTGTAGTTACTGTATGCATATATCGTGTTCTAATTAGGGGATTTCTCGCTTTTTTTGTTTTTTGTTTGGATGTTTGTTTTTTTGTTTTTTTTTTATTTGTTTTTTTGTTGGCTAATCACAGTTACAAAAACACAAAGTTCGTGGTAGGTGGAGGAGCGAAGTATGTGGGTGATGTTTGTGAGGTGGAGTGCGAAGGTGGAGGAGGAGAAAGGGGGAAGAGGAAGGGGAGAAGAGGGTAGGAAGAGTGGGGGAAAGAAAGATAGAAGAGGAGGAAGGGAGGAGAGGGTAGGAAGGGTGGGAAAAGAAAGGTAGAAGAGGAGAGGAGGGAGAGAGGAGAGGGAGGAGAGGAGAGTAGGAGGAAGGAGTGTGAAAAAGAGAGATAGAGGAGGAGGAAGGGAGAGGAGAAACAGGAGTAAGAGGGAGAGAAAAAGGGGAAAAGAAGATAGAAGAGGAGGAAGGAGAAAGGAGAGGGAAGACAGAGGAGGTCAAAGAGAAGAAGGAACGAGAGGAACAGGGAAGAAGAAAGTGAAAGATGAAAAGAGGAGAAAGAAGGTAGAGAAGAAGAGGTGAACCAGGGGAAAACGAAGAGGGAGAAGGAGGAAAAGTAAAGAAAATAGACAGACAAAAAGAAAGCAGGAAGAAAAGGGGGAGATAGAAAGGGAAGAAGAAAACCGTACACGAGCAGAGGAAGAAGGGAAGACGAAGGATAAAAGGAGATAAGGAGGAATAACAAGAAGACCGCAGAATGGAGAGCGCTTCAGGATACAGAAGGAAGTATACTGTAGTAAGGCTGAGCGTATACTGAGTCCGACATTTTTGTCCAGCGAGAGAGAGGCCTTTGGGGCGGCCCGTGCGGGTGCGTGCGGGGCGGAGCGGGTTGGGCGGCGAGGCGGGGGCGGGCGAAGGGGCGGGAGGGGGGAGGGAGGGAGGAGAGAGGAAAGGAGGAGGGAGAGATAGATAGATAGATAGATAGAGACAGAGAGAGAGAAAGAGAGAGGCGAGCTACAGCTCGTGGTACAGGGGCTCGTTCTCCAAGGTGTCCCTGGCGTCGTGGCGCCGCTGCCGCTTGCGGGCGGGGTCGAGCGTGCGGGCGGCGGCGGCGGGCGGGTGGCCGCCCTCCCCGCCTCGCCGCCGCTCCGTCGTGAAGTAGATGCGGTAGCGGTCGCTGCGGGAGGGCAGCGGCGGCAGCCCGCGCTCCGTGGGCGACGGCGCTCGGCCGCCCGACGTGGAGGGCGTGCCCGACGAGCCTCGGGCGTGGCGGGGGCGGGTGGGCCCCCACGTAGCGCGCGGCTCGCGGGGCGCGCCGATGCGGTCGACGGGCAGGTCGGATGAGGACGAGGTGGACGTGCGGCCGTCGCTCGTGCCCTGGATGGTGTAGGGCAGCGCCGCGTGCCGCCCGCCGCCGCCCTTGAGCGGGTGCGCCGGCGCCAGCTGCGGCAGCAGCGCCTCGTGGTACTCGCTGCCCTCCGTCGTGCCCGTGCTGGTGGCGCTGCCCGCGGGGCGTGGCTTCCGCGCCCGCCCTCCGCGCGCGCCCCGCCGCCCCTGCGTCGAGCGCCGCGTCGAGCAGGAGCAGCTGCCTGCGGCGCCCACGGGGCCGGCGCGGGAGGGCCGGGCCCCTCCGCGATGCGCTCCCGCGGCTGGGGGGGCGCCCGCGCCCTCCGAGCTGACGCTGGCGCTACTGACGGAGGTGGAGTCGCTACCTGAGGACGACACACTTAATCCGTCAACGGCAGCTTGCGGGGAGAGAGAGAGTCAGGCGGGCCTCGGGGGGACTGCCAGGGGAAGCGGGGGGGGGGGGGGTTGCCCTAGGGGCGTGTCTCGGGTCGGCGGTGCGCTAACTCTCTCTAGGTGCTCGTGCGAGGCAGCTCATTTGGCTAATTCCTAGCATGACAGGTCTGACTCGGGAACTCAAAGCCGAATACCATAAAAGGCAGACAAAACAAACATCAAATCAATCAAACTACATCTACCTGTACACAACAATCAATGAATCTAAACAAGTACATTACTGCAATAAAATCAAGAATAATCATTGACTATCACAGATCCAAAATACACAGAACATCAACATAAATTAGAGCTCCAGAAAAGAAAAAGGAAAACTAACTGTACCTCGCCCTGGTTGTCAGTCATGCAGTGTCTATTTACATTGGATTTGCCTAATTTGCATATTATCCGATGGATGACCAAACCCCCAGAGTATGTACAGCTTCCTATCAAAAGATCTCTATTTGTATTTCTAATTCTTCATTGACTCAGTCACTCATCAGAGTTGTGTTCACTTGTTCATGAGTCATTCACTCATCGTTATTTTCCATACTCATTTTCCTGATTCTCTCTCTACTCTCCCTCTCTCTCTCTCTCTCTCTCTCTCTCTCTCTCTCTCTCTCTCTCTCTCTCTCTCTCTCTCTCTCTGATGACTCATTCTACTCACTCTACCGCCAGACTGATACGGACTCATATCTCACTCATCCACAAACATATCCAAACTCATCGACCTCTCGACTCACTCATGACTCACAGACTCAGCCACAGACTCACAGCCAGCATCCTCTATTCACAGATTTACCCACTGGCTCCCTTAAACTCACCCGCACCTTGCCCTAATCTCATCCATGACTCATAGACTTAGACTCACCAACTGACTCACCTATCTCAAACTCACCTTCCGCTTGATTCAAGCTCTTAAACTCACCTCTGACTCACTCTCACACTCATCAGCAAACTCATATCTTTACTCTACTTATCCAACTTGCCTTAAACTCACCCAAAATGCACCCGCAGACTCAACTCATTCCTATCCACCCACTTACACCCAGACTCACCAGACTCTACTCATTCCATTCTCTCTCTCTCTCTCTCTCTCTCCTCCCTTCTCTTTTCTCTCTCTCCCCCTTTCTCTCTTTCTTTTTCTCTGTCTGTTTGTTTTTCTCTCTCTCTCCTCTCTCTCTCTCTCTCTCTCTCTCTCTCTCTCTCTCTCTCTCTCTCTCTCTCTCTCATCTTCTCCTCTCTCTCCTCTCTCTCTCTCTCTCTCTCTCTCTCTCTCTCTCTCTCTCGCTCTCTCTATCTCTCTCTCTCTCTCTCTCTTCTCTACCTCCCCTCTCATCTCTCTAGCCCCCACTCATACCACTTCACCCCTACCTACCTACCTAAAAACCCTACCCCAAACCCACCCTAACCCACCCCAACCCACTCTAACCCAGCCCAACCCCCAACCCACCCCCAACCCACCCCCACCCCCCCCACCCCCTACAATCCCACCCTCAACTCACAATAACTCACGTGGAGATCTCTTCATAAGTGGGATTATAAAGCTCTTGTGAACTCCTTGTCGATCTCTGCGCCTCGAACGTGTGTTTGGGCGTGAAGGGCGGCGAACTGGGCTGCTCGTGGGCGTAGGTGGGCGGGGCGAGGGACACGGGAGGCTGGTACTGCTGCAGGATGGTGGGCGTGCCTGTCTCGGCGCTCCGTAAGAGTGGAGTGGGCGTGAGAGGTGAGTTTCATGTCTAGCAGCTGTGTGGGCGGAGGGAGGGGGGTTAGTCTTCCAGGAAATAAATTTTATTTTTTTTATTATATATTATGCTGATTATTGTTTTTATTACTATTTATTATAATGATTATTGTTTTTATTATTATTATTATGATTATTGTTATTATTATCACTTATCATTATATTCATTACTTTTATTATCATTCATAATAATGATTATTGTTATCATTATTATTATTATTATCTTCATTATCATTTACTATCATAATTTCTGTTTATATTATCATTTATTACCATTATCCCCTATCTTGTATTAACATTTATCATTTATTATTATGCTTATTGTTATTATTATCTATTGTCATGATCATGATTATTATTTATTATTATAATATTTGTCATTATTATCATTTATTACCATTATCTCTTATTATTATTATTTATCACTTTTGCTAATTGTTATTCTCATTATTATTTCCTATTATCATTTCTCATCATTATCATTACTTATTATCTTTATTATTAATTATTGCAGTTAATTACCATCATAATGATTTATCCGTATCATTACTTATAACTACCATTTGTGACATCACCCATTTATTGTTCTCTTTTATGATCATCATAATTCATCACTACCATTTTTCATTATTACCATTATCATTATTATCATCTGTTACTGTTATTTATTGTCTTTGTTAATTATTATTCCTATTATTATTTCTTCTCATCATTATCCTTTTATGGCTATCATTCATTCTTAATATTCGTCACTATCTTTACATTTTATTTATTATTATTATATCATCATCTTATCATTATTTATCATTATCTTGTTATTTTGTATTGGTTACTTATCGTGATTATTAATTTATTTCTTATAATTATCAATTCATGATATCATATTGTTTTTTAATTAATTAACATTTTTCATTACTACTACTACCTATATACTACTAACAATAATAATGATAATGATAATAATAATAATAATAATGACAATAACAATAATAACAATACTACTACTACTACTACTAATGATAATAATGATAATAATAATCAATAATAATATAATAATAATAACAACAATAATAATAACAATAATAATAATAACAATAATAATAATAATAATAATAATAGTAAAAATAATAATGATAATTAAAATAACAAGAACACACAACAACAATAGTTATAATATAATAAAATACAAACAGAGCGATAAATAAACAAGGATAAATAAACTAAATGCCTTTGTAATCCAACCACTTAATTACTATTTCAATTAGATGGAAACACTCAAAGTCGATATCGTTTGCCGAAATATGTCTTTGTTGTATTATAATTACGAAGGTTTTAAGCTCGGCGTAAATGCATATTTTTGAATTATTATTATTATTATTATTTATCATTATTATTTTTTTGCTGTTTTTCTTATTTTTACGCTTGCTTTTTTCCTTCATTTTCAGTCTCTTTTTTCTCTTATTCTCTGTCTGTTTATCTGTCTTTTTTTTTTCTCCTCTTTGTCTGTCTGTCTCTCTGCCCCCTCCCCTCTCTCTCTTTCTCCCTC